CGTTTTTGAAGGCTTAAAAATCCAAATTTCCAGGGGAGCATTCCCCGGACCCCCTAGATTACGAGCGCCTTCGCGCTCCCATCTCAAAATCCATCGGTAAAACTGGGCAGACTGAAAAAATGCAAGCTGGCCGAAGTCGATTTGGACACCCCGGTATTTGTAATTGTGGACGCACTAGGGGGCCAGGGCAGGTGGGCAACACTGGGAACACATACCTTTAATGCATGCTTCATTACATGTAAGGTATACGTAATTTTGTCAGTGATCACCTTTTCTCACAAAGCGAGATACCAAATCCAGTGCAGCTCGAAAAAAAGCCTGTCAATTTACCGTTAAGCGTTGCCGGCCGTCCTGAATTTACCGTTAAGCGTTATCGGCCCTGCTGAATTTACCGTTAACCGTTGCCAGGACCCCCCCATGCAGACCCTCACTGATGATCACTAGATACTTGGAAGCCAGCCAGGAAAATGAAAATCCAGCATTAAAATAAAGAAATTTACCTTAGTTTCCGTACCTCTCATTTTGCAACAATATTCTCCATATTTTCGTTACCGATAGTCATCTAGAAATCATAAAGGGAACTTTACAGGCCGCGTTTGGTTCGAGCCGAAAAATCAGGGGATTTTAGACCACATGGTCACACTGTGCCGCTACTGCCACACATAAATTTTCACTCGAAATGAGAAATTAGCACCCAACAAAACGGACCATTAGTTTCCCAAGGCTGTATTACTCTTTTGTTCTTGTGGTCAACTTGTTTTCTTTGCTTGAATCGCGTAAAATACCAAGGAAAATACAAGGAAACTTCGGCAATCGGCTCGAATTTTGAGACGAGCGGCGGCCATCTTGGAATTTGTTGTTTATGCATGCCTGCAATTTGGCCCAAACCGCTAGAGGGCGATGTGATTGGTTGGGAAGTTTAATGTATTAATATACAGTGCTCACCAACTATTTGCATCACTGATATTGGCATAAACCTGGGATCTGCATAAAATTCTGAAAACCCAAACCATTTCCCATTCACTACATTATAAATTGCATGGCATAATTGCATGAGCTGTTATGACTTTAACCTGATATTGGACTAAAATATTTCCAAGTCAATGGCACACTGACCCAGAAGTACGTGAAAGAAATACATGTAATTTGTTGCGCATCAGCAAATCCGCATGAAGTCCATTGTTATTCATTCATTATCACCCCTGCACCCTCCATTGTCATACACTTTCTCTGTTGTCACTTCCTTCTGGACAGGTGAGAACCCCCAATCACTCAATGATGATTGTGTGAAGAAGTCATTTGTTCCTTTTTGGTGTCTTTGATTGGGCTGTTGTTTTAGGTTTGGTAAGCTTTTGCCCAACACAGGGGTAGACAGTATGAAGGTGGAATGTGTCTGATCTTCTATCTCCATGTTAGCCCTGTTCATTATAAGTTTCTGAATGCGACTTGAAGATTAGAATATGGTACATGTATGTAGTTGTGGGTGAAAGTGAGTATATAAATACCAATAACATCATGTTTGTGGTTGTTTCAATTGGCCCCAGCCCAGTATCATCCATAACCAACTGACCTCCCCTCCCTGTCGGTCGTGTGGACTCTCCTAAGGTTATTGGACTAAACCTGTTATAGGAATAAAATTCCCTGACAAATCGTCCATGCAAATAACAGGAGAGCACTGTATTCGGTTCTGAGGTTTTAGCCGTAGAGGACAGTAGTAATGATTAGAACGGATAAAATGGGATAAAATGAAATTAAAAGAGGATAAATAAAATAAAAATAAATCTAAAAAAATAAAAATAAATCTAAAAAATTTAAAAAAATAAATAAAAAAATTTGTATTGGTTGCTATACATTTAATATTTAGCAATGATCATTTAGCAAAATTATTTGGTACTGATAGTCTGGTATCCAGAATCAGGTACAGGTACAGGTACAGGTCCGGACCTGGACTCTGGACCTGGACCTGAAAGAGCGGAACAGGTACCCACCCATATGAAGGTAGCATTTTTTTAATAAACAATTGATGATGTTTGACAGCTGTTGTGTTTGCTACTTGATAAACAAACCTATTAATTGATAAAAAGAAAGGATAATGGATATGGGGTAGCAGATTTGAAGAATCCAGATCCTTTGAAATGGGGCAACCTGAAATCCTGATGGGGCAACCTGGCTTTTGACCCAGGTTGCCGCCCGGGCAACCTGGAAAAAAAAAGTATTTTAACCCCTGCATTACATTTGGAAACAAGAGATGGGATGTTAACCTTATATGCACAAATTCGATCTTATAAGCTATATGACACTAGCCTGGGTACCATCCCCAGTAGTATATTCGCAAACTCTATAACTGGGTCTGGACTTGCACACATATGTAGCGTCTGGAGTCTAAATATTCGTTCAGATTTTGAACGAGCGCGCTGATTGGTCCTACTCGTCTAAGCCCTTTTTGGGTGTGTACATATTAGGTAAGGGCTGTTCGGATGTCCGAACGGCGACGTTAGCGTCCGTTCGAACGTCCGAACGCCTTATCATCAACATGTCCGACGGCGAACCGAACGCTAAAGCGCACATGATATAGCCGTAGTCAGTCTTTCCGCGATAAATCATCAACATGGCTGACGCACAAGCCGCTCAGCTCACGGAGGTTGATGTTGACCTCGCAATCACGTCCGTTTTGGACGATTTAGACGGCATATCGTCGCTCAAAAATGAGCAAAAAGATGCATTGAATAATTTCGTTCGTGATGTTTTGGGCGTCCTGCCGGTAAAAAAAAGAACGCGCCGAGAAAAGGAACACTCGCGCGAAGATCTGTGTTTACAAAACAACAAACATCACTTGAATAATGCAGGCGCGCCATTCGCCGTCGCCTCTGAGGCTCAGCCAATCAAATGAAGCCCCGCTGCTCGGGCTAGCTCATTATGTGACGTCATGACCAATCGTTTTATATGTGTGCAAGTCCAGACCCAGTTATAGAGTTTGCGAATATACTACTGGGGATGGTACCCAGGCTAATATGACACGTTCTACCAAAGTAATATGCACAATACATTATAGGTTTCGCGCAGGTGCAGTACGTTCTGCCAACGTGCTACGTATAACATACTAGACAATGATACTTTTACTAGTACTATCAGCAATTACCCTAGCCTGGTTACCAAACCTATTATAGCTCCCGAGTCCTACATCCTCTCCGCTATTTGCGGAAAGGATGTAGGACTCGGGAGCTATAATAGGTTTGGTAACCAGGCTACAATTACCCTCTCATGGAGAAAGCTGAGGGCTTCGATGACGTTGAACATCCCGGCGCAGATCTCGGCTGATGTCAGCGTGTCGATGACCAGCTCCAGCGGGCGTACTGACTCCGTGATGAGGTACGTCCCCTCCACGTTCTGACACGTGTCAAAGAAACGCAGGATTGTCGGATGGCGGAGGATCTTCAGTTGCTGATCATCACAATATAGAGAATTAAAACAGTTAGATTGGTCAATATGTAAACATACTTTAAGTCCATATACTGTTACTAGTACATGTAACGTTACTAGTATACTCTGGTGGAGATGATAAATTGGGTTCTGGCCCAAGTTATAACTACTTCTTATAATATACCTGCTGGGCCATATATTACCTTTGATACGGGTGTTCCGGCCTGTGTGATAACTAGCAGTACGGCCCAGGGGTTCTTAACGCGTACGGCCCAGGCTTTCAAACGCAGTGTTCGAAATACCCGTCTGCAGTCTGCAATTTGCAGATAGATTTTCAAGATTGCAGAAGAAAAAATCTTACAATCTGCAATTTTGCAGAAGGAAAAAATAGGCTACGGATTCAATAGTTTTCAATTAGCAAAGCAGTGGCGCTGTGAATAGATCGAAAACCTGCGCCGCACGAACCTGCCGGCGTTTTCCAGCAGACTGTAATGTTCCCATATAAGGGAATTTGGTGTCAAAGTTGAACGATTTCGACAAGGCGACGAAAGGCGACGATAACCAAATATGGGCACTCGCCATTTTCAGATGTTAGATTTCGTCTCCCGGGAGGACCCGACAACTGCCTCGGCAATTTTCGGCAGTTTTCGCTGAGCATTTCCCAGCAGGCAACACGGCAAAGGAAACATGGCTCCTCCGAAAAACCACACTCGCCTTGGCGTTAATTTGCCGAAATTTCGATGTTTTTCCTTGGTATTTTGCACGATTCAAGCAAAGAAAACAAATTGATCACATGAACAAAAGAGAAATACAGCACTGGGAACCTAATGGTCCGTTTTGTTGGGCGGTAATTTCTCATTTCGTGTGCAAATTTACGTGCATCACATTGTGACCATATTGTGTAAAATCAGTGATTTTCGGCTCGATCCGAACCAAGCACGGCCCGTAGACTTGTCCTTTATGATTTCTAGATGACTATCGGTACCAAAATACGGGAAAATATTGTTGCAAAATGAGAGAGACGGAGACTAAGGTAAACTTCTTTTATTTGAAGGCTGGATTTTCATTTTCCTGGCAGGCTTCTTTGTATGTAGTGATCATCAGTTATTCAGTAACAACAAATATGGATTTTTCTTCCGGTCAAAAAAACCGGTCCACCGACCTTTCGGTTTTTTTGGACCGGGCCGATAAAATTTTACGGTCCGAACATATTTAAAAGAGTGATATTTTGAAGAATTTCAGTAATGCTACAGATTTACAAAGCTATACCGTTATATATATATGATGTAAAAATAGGCATTATTGGTTTCAGAATGTTGTAATATGGGGGCTTGTGTATTTGCAGAAAGTATTTCCAAATTGCAGGACGAAATTTTGACTCTTCTGCAATATTGCAGAGCACTGAAAAAAAAGGATTTCGACCACTGAAACGTGTTTCGCCCTAACCGCGTGCACCGCTTTCGAAAATTTGAATTAAAAAATTTGGACGATGGAATTGATGTTGTTGCATTTTTTGTGTTTAGTTACACAAAATCTTCGCTCATTTTGCATTGAAGACTCTTCAGAAGAGTACATGTTTTCTTGGGTTGGTATGGTTGGTATAAATAAAATACAACACGGTGTATTCCGCATCACCCTCGGTCCCAGCCCTCCTGCGGATCGGATCTCCCTTCGGCCGCCGGGCGATGTGACCTGCGGTGGGGCTGGTACCTCGGGCAATACGGATTTGCACCATGTAGTATTCTATATTTAGTACTAGCAGTAGCTAACTGTTATATCACAACAGATTAGTGAATTTCGGGTAGCAGGTGCACAAACCCTGTTACAAAATGGTTGGCATCCAGGCTGTTGCCAGTACTAGTTAAGTGTACTTAGTCTAGTCTGTACGTGTACCTGAGTCATGTGAGGAAATCGTTTGTGTGTTTGTTTTTGTGAGAAAATACATATGTAGGCCTACAAAAAACAATTGTATGAAGTGTTTTTCCAAAGGGAAGAAAATTGCAGACCCCCTACATGTACTTCTAGAGGAAATTGAAAATACCAGATTAGATTTTAAGTCAACAATCACAAGACTACCTTCATACATGGCAAACAGGTCACTATGTTCAGCTGTTAGACACTCGAACAGAAACATAGACAAGGTACATGTAACATTGTATGTAACTTAAATACAATTTAAGTTTAACTCCGTGGACATACAACTAAATATGCTGAACATGTAACAAATAATTAACGTTACATATAAAGCATTAATGACGAACATAAACATTATAAACAGCAGGTCCCATTATTTTAATATGACAATTCTATTTTCAACAAATAGTATTAAAACTACTACACAACAACGCCCTGCATTTCCGGTGCTAAAGCTAAATATCACACGTGACGTCATCACAGGTAAACACCACATAAACTGCTAGTTTGCGTTCGTACCTTTGCTGCATTCTGTATAACAGGATCCTCCTTCGCCTGTGTGGACTTGTGGACAAATACGGACACTTTCGACCCGTCCTTTTTCCTAGCGGAGTGAAGTGTCCAGTTTTTCTCCGAAGTTTGCACCTCTTCTTCCAAGTCACACCCTTGTAAGGTGCTCGACTCAGAACCCATTTTTAGCCCCAAAATATACAGAAATTCAAGAAAACGTCTTCACCAGTGTGTTCTGTACATTCCAAAATACGATATACAACTTTGGTGGGGCGAAAGTACTCGAGGTTTTGGCAGAATTCGGCGAAAATTTGCGAAATTGTTGGCGACTTTTCACTATTTTGCTCCTGTCAGCGCCATGTTGGCTCGTTAGATTGTTTCATTCAATGAAAGGGGGAGAAGATTTTACAGTACTAAACCGTCTGCTCAGAGATACATTTTCGTATCCTACACAATCATTATCCTCATTTAAAAACAGTAGTAAAATCCTTTATAAAAGAAAATGTCTTCTTATTGTATATTGGTTGTTTTTTTTTTCTTTTTAAATAGTTACACCCCCCTAAGATATACTGAGCTATTCCAACGTGATGTGTGCTTCACATGTTGATCGCAAGAGAATGCTATAAACAGTAATACGCACAATCTTGTCATAATGACAAAAGTAGGTTCCCATTTTAAACATTTAAAGAGATAGAAAATATAATAAAGTTGACTTCTGGCCTGTACAGCAACTATCTTGTTAGTTTACTTCCAGCAATATTTACACTATAAAAACGATACGTTTGTTTTCAACCTTAGCTTTCTAGCGCCTCCTATCGAGAAGCTTGAGAACGACAGGAGCTGGGTCGGTTAATGGCCTTGAAGATTCAAGTTCGTCATTCCATAGCTCATAATAACATGTTAGTCATCGAGTTGTGAAATAAATAAACAAACAAAGGAAAGGTACAGAAAATGCAATTTTTATACTTTTTACATTAGTATCTAACACCTGCAATGCTTAAAAATTAGTTTAAAGGTAACGTTACCATGCAGAAAAACACTAAACCTATCAAATTATAGAAAATCTGCGTGTACTGTTCTAGTTTAGTTGTCCGCATGACTTCATTGTTTCTAGCTGTTGATAATTGGAAACCCTGTTTCTTTTCCTTTTGTCATATAATCATAATACATGTAACAGACTATACAGGTGCATACTCACCTTTACAAGTTGCCCTTCCCTATACAACAACACATATACAACATCAAAATTTACATGGTCAATAACAACAAGTATAAAAATACACATGTACAGAATAGGCAATCAATATAGAAGGTTAAGCATAATTCAATATATTTTATAAGTAGTATACATTGTGTTGAAACAAGACTTAGATGAGGTCTAGAGGCAATACAAGAACTGCACCCACAATAAGTGGTCCAAGTACATGCCAGGTCAAGACCGTCGGAGTGTAATGTGTGTTGAGCATGGGCGGGGGGCTCAGAATAATGCCCCCGACTACTAGCCCAGCCAAGCACGAGAGAATGGATGCCATACCTACCAGGCTACTACTGTGTAAGTGCGGGTTCCGAATACTCAACTGTAACTATGTAAACTCAAAACTCACTCAACACAAGGCTCCAAAAAGGCGGAACCAACATTTATTGTTGACACCACCCTACAAGCTTGGACTTTTTTTTTCAATGTAAGGCAATGTTGATTTGATTATATGGATGACATCCTCCGGGAACCCGCGCGTGCGAATAAAAAAAAAGTTTTGCAAAAAAAAGTTGTTTTCATTATGAAATCTACGTGGTCATGAGGGTTGAGCAAATGGGACAGAATATGGCGAATAATCTACTCTTCAAGTTCATTTCTTTACAATTTCGTCTTTTTTCGTTTGATTTTGGCATTCAACGACATTGGTATGGTTTTTTTGTAACTTACGGTAATGCTATATTTTTGCTCATTTTGCAACTGTTTTGTACGATTTACAGTATGGTTGAAAACTTTTTTTTTGAAACGGCCGAAAATTCATGCGCGCGCGGATGTCATCCATATAATCAAATCAACATGGCCTAAGGCCACACCGACTTAATTTTATGGCCTTATTTTTTATTCGTCTGCGCGCACTAGTTTCGGGGTCTTCAGAGGGTGTCATCCATAAAATTTAGTCGGTGTGGCCTAACAATCCTTAACTTTCTAAAATTCAGGCCTAGTTGTCGACCTAGGTTATACACAGGTGAGGTAAAGAGCCCCGTTGTATGGCCAAATGTCACGTTGAACTTTGTATCCAAGGTCATTTGTTGGTCAACTTATTCAACGCTTGTCGGTCTTATCGAACTGCGATGGAATTTACTTCCTCCTCGGGTGTTTGCTTTTACCTTCGAGGGACATGAAAGGGTTTTGTGGCATCTCACATCAGTTGTATTGCTACGGATAAATAAAGATACTTTAACAATAAAAACCGCATACGTACCTTCCATGTTTTTCACCGACAGTTATATGTAATGGGCGTTGACCGAATCACGCCAGTATAGTAGGTGCAAGTTCAGACTGTATTTCGGAGCAAAAAAAGGACCATACAATCTATTGGAGAAAAGTAGAGAATTTTGCGTTTGTATTTTCAAGCATTCGTTGTCGTCGTTGGAGATCTTTGCTACGTTACGCCGAATGCTGTAACACTAGTCTGGACTTTGTGCGAACCCGGGGGCATCCGAGGTTTCGTACTGAGCTGAGCAGAAGGTTTCTACCGCCACAAACAAGTACTTTTTAAGCCTTTGAGGGGGCTGTGACCGAGACTACGATGGCTACCAGACGCAGGACCTCAAAAAACATTGAACTGACACTAGAAAAGAGAGGAGAAGACTACAAGAAAAAAGTAGAGGCTGCGAAAACAAAAGAGAAAGCTCCACCGAGATGGCCGGGGGCGTGCAAGCTCCTACTGTCCATACTCCTGTTCCTGGTGATTTTGAGCTGCCTGGGGTTCGGGAAAGTGTCGGTGATTTCCATAACCCAGTGTCTGGCACAGGCGAGGTTCGAGAACAGAACAATCACGTAAGGAGTCTTGTTTTTTTTTTTTTTCTTTGCAATTCGACATGGATAATACAGGACATGGTGGTGAGGTACTCTAGCTATAGCTAATATAATTTTAACCTCACCACCATACATACAAGTAAACAGTGACAAAATACATTACAAAAACAACAGGGAACAGCAAATGAGTGGAAATGGATCAATAAATGGTAAGGAAGAACATGTTTTGTAGGCTATGTAGGGGTTAATCTAATACAAACCGTTTGGAATCGATAACGTAAGTTATTGATACTAAACAGTTGATACAGTTTGTATCTGCATGGGTGTAAATCGGGTGATCCTCTGAGTAAAATGTTACATAAGAATTGTTCAGACATGTTGTGTACATCAAAGATATAGCCTACCGAGTTCTGTAGATTGCTGAGTAGAGTGACTCTTGGTTGCTTTTCATATCTCATATGCATGACGGTTAACGTTGCTGTGTATAGGTGTGCAATACCTATCGATTTTATTCTCTCCCAGGGTTGACCCTTAATAATAGTCCAGGCCTAGTTGGGTAAACCTGGCTGTTGTAACCGAACTTATAAACAAATATAGGTGCGCTCACTGCGATATTCGTTGTAGAACGGGATACCATATTAATGTAACAGAAAGAAAGAAAAGAAAATTATCTCGAACTACTTTTAGCTCTCAGAACAGCAAACCTATCCAGAAACAAAAATATTGAGTGCTTTTATTTACATAGAATAATGTTATACAGTATTAAGCTGCCAATATTATATGTTATTATATGATGCAAGGTCATGTCTTGGCAAGGCAAGACCTTTGTAACAACCATAGTAAGCTTACTATGACTGTTATCATCATGTCGGGAGTACATGTAGTTCCCGGTCCCAAACCCTCTCCCGCCAGACCAGTCTGTTACAAAGGGTCTCAGTGGATACAGAACCATGTCTGATCCTAACCATTCAAGCATACATGTACATGTAGTACTAGATGGGCACGCTTATGCAATAGCTCATTCCTTGACAAAGATAGACCGCTACTTTATTCCAAACTTTGCATCTCTAACCTTTTTTTTTTAATTTTTGATTGAAGAAACAACACAAAGAGAAGGACAAATTGGGACTGCACTCAAGTTATACACTTACCTTAACAGCAGCCACTTAATACTTAACTTAAAATTGAAACATATACATGTGAAGAAAAAATCCCTCCCTTTAAAATATCATGTTAACAAAAGTACTAATGATTACTAAATAAACAAAAGGAATAACAGCTGGAAACGTTTCGCATCTCTTATATAAGCTTGAGTAAGTAACATAATTTTGTCGCAGTAGTCAGAGGGTATATGAGCCTCTGAGAACAGGATAAAGTCGAGCACTTTCAGAAAGACTACCTAAGGCCATGTTGATTTGATTATATGGATGACATCCTCCGGGAGCCCCAAAACTGATGCGCGCGTGCGAATAAAAAAAAGTTTTGCAAAAAAAAAAGGTTGTTTTCATTATGAAATCTACGTGGTCATGAGGGTTGAACAAATGGGGCAGAATATGGTTTGGCGAATAATCTAATCTTCAAGTTCATTTCCTTACAATTTCGTCGTTTTTCGTTTGATTTTGGCATTCTACGACATTGGTATAGTTTTTACTTATTTTTTGTAACTTACAGTATATTTTTGCTCATTTTGCAACTGTTTTGTACGATTTACAGTATGATTGAAAACTTTTTTTTTTGGAAACGGCCGAAAATTCATGCGCGCGTGGATGTCATCCATATAATCAAATTAACATGGCCTAAATCAATCAAATGGTGTTTTAAATATTGCGGTTAACTTGTTCTTTGCACAATTTTACCATCGTAGATTTAGGTTTCAAACTTATATATTGAATTCCTTGTTGTTGTTTTTTCAGACCTCCATCTCACAACCTGACCATCGTGCAGTCGTGTAAAGATGAGCAGCCCGAGGCCATCATCAACATGATCCTGCTGATCCTGATGGTTCCGTACGGCATCACCCTGCTCAGGTGTCTGTGGGTGACCGGCTGTAGAGGCGTGTATCCCTGGCCGACATGGACGGCTATCGGCGTGGTGAGTAGTACACAGGCCTTGTATTGTACTGTGTACTGTATTGTACCGGAAAAAATGATTAGGTACAGGTCCAAAATACCTAATCCCTCCGTACCGGCACTGTACCTAAATAATTTCATACCAATTTCATACCTAGCCTATTTGTGACCTCAAATGTGTAAATAGCTGGTCCCCCAAGGGTGTAAGGACAGTGTGTTCATGAAAACAAAAACATCTTAGTTTTCCCCATATTTTGTCTGAGCATTCTTAATAAACAATAACTAAGCCTTCACTGCCAACTATTAATGTTTTTCTTGTTATTGAATGAGTTCAGAAGAGCATGTTATTTTGTCAAATTAATTGTTCAGGTACAGGTTCAGGTCCGGACCTGTACCTAAACCTGTGTACCTGTAATAGGGACCAGGTAACTACTGTCCTGAAAATACTTCAACTTCTACTACAACGCTTGCTATTTTTAGGTTTGACTTCTTCTTTAAAGGCAGTGGATAATGAATAGTTCTGCATAATGTGTGGGCTTTGTGATCTTAGTAGGAACACATGAACAGTCTTAGGCGATGAAAAAAGGAGAAATTGTGGTAACTGTTTAAACTAATCTGTTTCTGTCGGTCTTATAGTGAGGACAGGGGCTAATGAAATGTATTTCTTTTTCCACATTTATTGGGCAATAAAACAATAAATAAATAAATTAAAAATACGGCAATAGATTTATTGTAACAACAAATTAAGAATAAAGCAATAAATTCATTATAACAAAGCTGCATTTTTTGTATAAGGCCACATCGACTTAATTTTATGGATGGCATTCTCTGAAGACCCCCGAACAAGTGCGCGCGGGCGAATAAAAAAATTCCAGCCAAAAATAAAAATGATACTAAACCACGGGAATACAAAGCTGGTATTGTGAATTTACGGCAGTACATAGCGACGTATAAGACAAGCCGGCACATGCTGGCTTTTTGCGGAATTTATGAATCGGCACTGTACGTAAGTACTGAGATCTTTAGTCGTGGAATTCGATAGCCTGGGTGCCGTATTGTTGCTAACTACCATGGGTTACCCAGGCCTAGAGCCAGGCCAGAGCCTCGGTTGACGTGATCTTTTTTTTAGAACAGGCGAAAATCAATGCGCGCGCGGATTAAGTCATTGTGGCCTAAGGTTATACCTGCCACAAGTCACGTACACACCTGTCACACATGTTATATTTCCCCCACACCCATTCAATCAACATTGGACGACCCTGGGACCTCCAACGTGTTCTTGTTTTTACCGAGAAACAAACAGGCTCTCCTAGTGACGCTAACTGGCGGATGAATATTTTGTTTTATTAATTTTGATTTTTATTGAAATTGTAAGTGCCTTTCCCAAGGGCACAAGATCGGTGACATGTCAGGACTCGAACCCGGGACCTCTTGGTTCCGCGTCGAGCAATAGGCTTCTCAAACTCTTATATACCTTTAATTAAACAGAAAACATACTTGCCCTGTGTATGTCCAGGGGTGCCAGAGTATACAGCGCAATTTAACGGAATACAGTGCAATTTGTCAAAATGCAGTGCAATCGTATTAATACACAGTGCACTGTATACTAATAAGATTGTACTGTAATCCGTTAAAATTGCACTGTATACTAAAATACGAATGTACTGTATTCCTTAAAGCTGCACTGTATTCCGTAAAATTGCACTGTATACTGTGGCACATTATAGCACAATACTGACTAGGATTGACACCAAGCATTTCAACAGTTCAATTTGGTAATAAGTAAATAAACGTTCTCCTATTACAGTACATGTGAATTTGTACAATGTAAGGATTGGGTCTTCATTCAACAAATGCGAAAGATAATAGAATGCCTTGTCATGCACAGTACTGACGTTGATAAATGATGACATATGTGTCATATTTAACATTGGATATATTTTATGACTCGTTTTTTTTTTTCTTTTCGTTTTTTTTTCTTTAGGCCACACGATCTTAATTTTATGCATGACATCCGCGCGCGCATTTATTTTCGCCTGTTCTCAGAAAAACAAAAAAACATCCACCGAGGCTCTGGCCTGGCTCTAGGCTAGTCTATAGTAGTTAGCGACAATACGGAGCCGGGCACCCAGGCTACCGAAGCTCCACGACTCAAGAACTCAGTACACACGTACAGTGCCGATTCATAAATTCCACATAAAGCCAGCGCGTGCCGGCTTGTCGTATGCTTCGCTATGTACTACCGCAAATTCACAATACCAGCTTTGTATTACTGTGGTTTAGAAGCATTTTTATTTTTGGCCGGATTTGTTTAAATCGCCCGCGCGCACTAGTTTGGGGATCTTTAGAGGATGTCATCCATAAAATTAAGTCGGTGTGGCCTTATGTTGAGGGGAATTTAAGAACTTAGGCATGGCCGTGGACAGGTGTACAAATACAAGCCTCTTTGCCATTGGTTGACCTTAGACATTTTTGTTTCTTAACAACAAACGCTATAGAAAATTCGTGTATTCCGAACGTATTCCAAAACTGATGCTCCTTATTTGGTCGATAGAGGTCTTATCTAGGGCCTATCACTTTGCATACAGTACCACAATATGCAGTTACTAGAGAATTCTTTCAGCAGTGACAAGTTTTTGGAAGGGTAATATGAGTACTATCCGTGAACAAGATGGACTGATAGTTATCGAAAATTTAAAGGTTAGTACTCTTACCCTTCAACAAACTTGTCACTGCTGAAAGGATTCTCTAGTAACTGTAACTATACATGTACGTGAAAAATGAAACTCTTCAACCGCAATATGCAGGTATTTTTAACTACCAGAAATATAAATTATTTCAAGCGCTGACAAACAACATGTTAGTGGCCATATCGAACAAAGCCATGTTTGCTAGGTACATACATGTACATGGACTTTGACCTTGAAAGTTGGTAAATATTTTGCGCTTGGCCCTTTGCTTAGGAAAGGTGACGAACGTTACATTCCAAAATGGTGGACAACCCCGCTTACGATCACATGACGAAATTCCACCCTCTTATTGGTCGAGCTGTAACTTTGATTGATCTGCAGTGGTGACTTTGGACATTTTTATCTGAAATATTTCTGTAGCAATTGCTTTATAAAAAGTAGCCTGGGTGCCATCCCCAGTAGTTTTCGTCCGCTCTATAATGTCACTAGCTACCAGCTATAAGCTAGCGGGCGAATACTACTGGGGATGACACCCAGGCTAATATAAAAGCCTACAAAACTCAGAAAACCGCAAAACCTTAGATTTATCTCAGAATACAAACATATGGAGCCATGAAAGGCCATGAATTGTTTGAAACAAGGAGGAGGGTATGTCTTATAACGTCCCGTTCCAGAGCGTAGGGGTGGTGCCCATATCCATTTCTGTAGCCCTTGGGCGACACACAGTTGTGCAATACACTACAGCAGGGGGCTGTATGTGTTGTAGAATATTGCTTTTTTTCCGATACAACTCAAGCACTGACGCGTCCAATAATAAATCAGTCTTCAAAATTAATGATGATGCCTAAATTTATTTATAATTCCAACCTTGGAAAAGTATTAACAGTTTTTTGGGATTTTATCAGTACAACCAAAGAGACGGTCTGACATACATTAAACGGTCCTAGTACAACGGAGATCTTGTTGGGAACAAGCCCTAAGCGGGCCTAGCCTTCACAACAAGAACATAAACAGTTCGGAACAGGTAACAGTTACAATTCAGATAGACATACTATTGCATAACAGATGTTGCGGTCTAGCGTTAATAAGCAATGCAATCTGGCCTAGACGTCATGCGTTTACTATAATAACATTGTGTACTATACTATTACATAACAGATGTTGCGGTCTAACGTTAACAAGCTGTACAATCTGGCCTAGTTTCCATGCGTTTACTATAATTACAATAATTATATTTACTGAAAACAACATTGGAATGAACAACAAACATATTTCTTACGGGTTTTCTAATATTTTGTTAATATTTTTTCAGGGGTTTCTGGCCAGTACAGCCGAGGTCTTCGCCCTCGGTCTCTTCACACTTGAGGCTCTCACGACCGTGAAAAGCGCCCTCGGCATTCTCCTGATGAACAGCATCTACGCCATGCAGATCTTCTTCCAGCTGCTGTACGAGTGTTGGAAGTTTGTCCGCCCGCGCACGGAGGGGGGATCGCCGCCATCTTGGAGAAAGCTGCTGACGTTTCTGCTGGCCGACAGTCTGGGAGTCGCCGCTTTCGTCGCGATCGTGTACTTCAGTTCGAAGGAGGGAAACGACCCGGAAGGTAAGTACGAAGGCCCACAACGACAGTTCCATACATCTCTTCCACAGCCCTTCCACAGCGCGCTGCCAAGGATATAACTACCATACCGCACTTCCACACCGCGCTAGGTATAACTTCACGTAAGGGATTTTTGTTGGTCATATTAAAGTTATTCTTTAAGGATTAACCTATCATTATAATTTTACCCGTTACCTTAATATTAGGACCGCCGAATACTCACACGCGCACACACACACGCACACAAAGACACACACGCACACAAAGAGAAACACACACACACAGACACAGACACACACACACACAGACACACACACACACACACACACACACACATATATATATATATATATATATATATA